TGTCAAAATCTCGATTTATTTCCATTCCTAGGAAATGTTTTACCTCAGACAAATCTTTCATTTGGAATAACCTTCCAAGTTTTTCTTTGATCCACAATATATCATCTATATTTTTGGCAATTAAAAGAATGTCGTCTACATAGAGAATTAGGATGATTCCTTTGGACTTTGATTTGTAAATACAACAGTCATTTTTGAGTGGAACAAATTCTAGTTCTCTCATCGCATCATCGAAACGTTTGTTCCAAGATCTGCTTGCTTGTTTAAGTCCATACAAGCTTTTATGTAAACGAACATTTTGGCTTTGTCCGTTTTCTTTCGGTGGGAGTTTCATGAAGATTTCCTCTTCTAGATTCCCATTCAAAAATGCTGTTTTGACGTCCATTTGGTGTACAAGCAATTTGTGTTCGTTAGCCAGTGCAAGAGCTAAACGAACGCTTTCCAGTTTGGCAACAGGTGCGAATGTATCACTATTGCCTATATATGAGATAGCACACATTCAAATACTACTAGCAAGTTTGTATGCAAGAGGCAAAGCTTCTAGCTGACCACTAAAGCTTCTCCATTCAATATTGCATACAATACCATATGCGAATAACAGTTACGGCTCGCATCTCTCATGTTTACACTGACAATTGTCATCCGATGTGTCAGTACCGATCTATCAGTTGAATGGTAAATTGTTATTGGTTACTCCACAAGACGATGGTGATAATATCACCGCAGTTTGTTTCTCAACAAGAAGTACACATAAAATGTATGAGTCAAATGAATAGTATGTGCAGTTACATTAATTACGGATAGATAATTTTAATTACCACTACTTCAAAACGCATTAATTACTTTAAGTACTTTAGATTGCATTTTAACTTCAACGCACCGGTTCTTTGTATTGCGTGCCCCTCGATGATTACCTGAGATTTGTCAATGATGTAAATATTTACACGTCGTTCATTGAAGAATGCCCTAATAAAAAGTTGCCATAAACGAACTATAACCCAAATAATTTAACTATTCCACAAATGGTTTGGATGATACCCCGAACATGTCGTTTAGCAAAATAACCTTAACATTTTAATTAGGATGGGCAATAGACTGATGCAAAATTTGACTTTTTCGCTCCACAGTGCTTAAATGGTTTCAAATCGGGTCCTGATTAGCCTCCCAAAGTTACAACTCATTTGGTTAGAAACAGACTTCGCACAAGCCATTTGAAGTTTACATGTAAATTGCTATGGGAAATCTCAACTTTTTGTTCATTGCCTTCTAATCTTTTTTCCATATTGAGCTGTGAAACAGTTCGATATCCATTCTTATAGAAAATTTTCTCAGCTACAACTTTGCCGTAGATCGTTTCTAGGTAAAACGAGACAGGAAAAAGTTATTAATTATTTTAGAGATTGGTAAACTTATGACATGATCAAGCAGCTGCTCTGTAGGCAACACTATATTTTGCAGTGTGACATAGTAGCCATGATTTTTGTGTCCTATTCAACGCCCCAGAAACACCAATGTTGCCTGCTGAGCAGTTGATTGAGCATGATCATAAGACATCAGCGCATTTAATCAAAAAGTGGTCTTGAGCAAAGCTGTAGCTGGGAAAATTTCCTACAAGCACAGTTGTTTGCTTTTGAAGCAGACCGATATGGTGAATTTTTAGATAAACATGAACAAAAATCTTGGTTTTACCATAGTAATTCCCATACAAACTTCAAATGGTTTGTGCCATCTCAGTTTCTCACCAAATGGGTTCAAATTTTGTAAGTCAGGATCTGATTTGGAATCGTTTAAGTATTGTGGAGCGAAAATTTCAAATTTTGCATCATTGTAATGGGCAATGATATTTAAATAATTATGTGGGATTGCACCGATGGCACCCCATCCCCTCTTGTGTAAATTTAAGCCCTACACACAAAAAATTATTGTTAGTAAAATTGAAAAATCCATTGGTAGAATTAAAAGTTTCCGTTGGTTCTTTTTGGTAGAAAGTCTTTAGCTTTCAAAACAAAAGTCAGCTAACTGTTAATTCAAAAGTAACTCGTTTTTTACTTTTAAAAGTTGAAACTTTCAAATCGAATTGTAGAACTGTCAATACGAAAACCTATTTTGTTAAATAGACTTATGAAAGGATTTAATTTAAAAGATGGGCAGTTTTATCGCAATGATTTATGTTTTCATTTCAAATATGAATCTTTTTAATTAAATTGCTTTTTACTTTGAAAGAAATAAAGCATAGAAATATTAAATTTAATATATTTTAGTTTATTTATATGATGCTGACTGAAAGGGCACGGCATTATGGAACTTCAAAGCATGGGAAGCGTATTACGCAAATATACAGTTGACTGAACAGCTGGTGATGGTGATGGTGGGAGCAGCCTTCCTTTCCGGCAATTCTGACGAGGCTGCTGGAAATCAAAACACATCAATTAGGAAAATTGGCAAGCAAACTCTTCGAAAATTTCATCATCTTACCTCCAAATCCCGCAGCTGGAGGATCTTTCCAATCCTTCCACTTCATAGCGTCACCACGAATGTCTCCATCTTATTTTTAGTATCTTACAGAAGAGAAACAAGCGCACCGGTGGATGAAAATGTGGAAAAGTTCATGAAACTGCTGCTGCTCATGCTAATTCTCACAGCTGCTTTTGTTTTGTTTGTTTGTTTCGCATGTCCAATTTGGCGGGAAACACAGGTTCAGTACTGTCAAACACATCGCAAGGAAGAGATTTTTTTTGACAATTGTACAACTTTTATTCTAAAAAATAAACGTTTAAAATTACAAGCCGAAAGTGAAAGAAACACTTTTAAATCAAAAAAATTATTTTACATTTGAAAAATTTCATAGTTGAAACTAAGAAATTTGGGAAACTTTTAATTTGATCATGCGTTATTCTTAAAGGAACAATTTTTGTTTTTTGTGTGCAGTAAAAGTATGGACGTCTGTCAAAAGTTGTTCCAATCGAACCATCAAAATGCACTGCTTTGCTCGATTGGAACAGCTTTTTTTCAGTTTGGTGGTGACAGTCGGCCATACTTCAACTAGAGGGCTTAAGCGTAAATACATAATGTCAACAGTGAGCATGCATAAGGGCGAATACGCGATGATCAATTCTCTTCATCGACTTTCTCTTTGCATTGCTACAGCTAAGCGAAACAATTTTCTAGAATTTGTTCAATGCATAGTAGTAACAGGTTGTATTGGCTATCAAAAGCAACAGCAAACGCACCGAGAAACGTTAAATCTAGCGAGTTATTAACAAAAGAGAAAATCGACGAAGAGAATCGATCATCTCGTATAGGCCCTTATGCATGCTCACTGTCGATGTATACGCAATGAGATATACATACAGGAGTGGCACATGACAGTGTTTGTTTGTGTTTGAGAGCAATACTACCACAGACAAACAGACATAACATTCGCAAGTTGTTCATCGAACAAGCATTTAACGGTCAATTTAAAAGTATCGTAGTTGGTAGTCAATTCCCTTGCATTTGACGTTTGCACACTACCGCCATCTGTTCAGCGTACTACCCACCACCGTGTACTCAACAGATGGCGGTAATGTTTTGTGCACAGAAAAGCGACGATGTTTTACAGTGAGAAATATTCAAGGTGTTATGTCTGTTTGTCTGTGATACTACCATACTACTAAACATTTTCGGAGATGAAAAGTGGTGACGACACAACAACCAACTCTCCGAACAAAAATCGTGATTGTGACGTCGCAACTTTATTGTCTCCGGTGCCTGCACGCTAACTTGAAAGTACCCATTAATGAGTACAAATTCATCAATTTTATAGAAAAGTGGCTTAACTCATTTAATGAGTAAAACCTGCTTTACTCATTAATGAGTATTCAAGGATTACTTCAAAAAATGGGTACTTTTGACCCTTCATTTTTATTCTATACATGAGTAGAAAGTACCCATTTTATTGAAAATTTTGCTTCATGGGGCACCCTGTCATCATAGATGTAACCAAGAAATAAATTGTGAAAAAAAAACAGATTAAAAGGGATTGAAACTCTTTATATTGTACATATATTGATCATCAACGATTACAATTCAATTTTCTTGTTGAATTTATGACTAAATGGGCGGGAGACCTCTCCAGACTTCCATCCACGTCCTCAAGACCGTAGCTGAAAAAATTCACCTGGCGGAAGCTTCTCCCTGAAATATGCATTGAAATGTTGTGCTGGACATTCCCACAACGGCCTCCACCATCCAATCACGATTTCGATGTGTCGGTTGCAGCTCATGCAGTTTTCTCAGCATGATCAGCAACAAATGAATGTTCTTCTTCGTGATGGATACTGCTATCGAATGGGTCCGGTTCCTTATGAATGTGAAATTCTTCGAAGATCTCAGCAAACCTGAAACGAAACACATTATTAGAACAATTTGTATGAATGTCGCACATTTATATAATCCCTACCTTGTAACAACTAGCTTTGTCGCTCTTTCCATAGTTGGAAAACTCGCGATAAATCCCGACCGCGTAAAATTTCCTCCTGATATGCGAAAATGGCGTCTCTTTTTTTGCATTGAAATATGAATGAATTTTTTACCCATTTTTATTTCAAGCCAATGTTCTCAAAAATGAATAAAAAGTAAACATTTTTCATTTTGTAAAAATACCCATTTTTTGACAGCTAAGAATAAATTTAAAAAATGAGTACAAGATACTCATTTAATGGGTACTTTCAAGTTAGCGTGTGAAGCTTCGGGTACACGGGACCACACTACCTCCCATAAAGTTTGCCCCGCTTACTAATACATTCGTAAGAGGTACTACCTCACCTATATAGGTTAAGCACATAGATGTATACGGCCCTTACTCTGTCGACCTAATTGAAAAATACACCCAGCGGCTTGAAAATCTCATCGACGGCTTGCAATGAATGCACCTCTGTCATGCCATCACCAAAGCAAGCAAAATGAAAAAAAATAAACAAAAAGTGACACTAGTTTTCAGTTTTTCTATGTGTGAGCCATCACGGACGTGAAAAAAGGGCACGGGATGTTCTAACAAGAGAACCCGAGTCGTTCGAAGTGTCGTGCGATAGTGACAAAATATAAGTTGCATTGCAATTCGAAAAAAACTTTGCACATAATCGGTTCCGTACAGTTCGTTTCTTTGCGCAAAGGATGAGTGTAGTTGGTAAAAAGTTATCGACGATTTCAACAGCTCCCTCTGGGACAGCATCTGGCGATGGTGCTGGGGGCGCAGCTTCACCCACCAACAATCCTCCACCGCCAAAAGTGATCAGTCCTGAGTATGTGCTAAAGTTGAACAAAATAACCGACGATTATTTGTGCTCTCCGGATGCAAACATTTACGACATCGATTTTACCCGATTTAAAATACGTGACATGGAAAGTGGAGCAGTGCTCTTTGAAATTGCCAAACCGTCCGCGAGTGAATCAGTCCAAAGCACTGATACCAGTTCGGTTCCAGTTGAGAGGGGCAATCATGTTGCGTCTGGTAATGAGGACCACGTCAACGAGGAGGAAGAAACACTTGAACCGAATGCGGGGCGATACGTCCGATATCAGTTTACACCACAGTTCCTGAAGCTAAAAACTGTGGGAGCCACGTATGTGATCTCTGTGTCAGAAAATAGGTGCATGATCCTAATTTGCTACGTCCATTTCCTTTGCAGAGTGGAATTCACAGTTGGCAGCAAGTGTGTGAAAAATTTCCGAATGATCGAGCGACACTTTTTCCAGGATCAACTCCTGAAAACGTTCGACTTTGAGTTTGGATACTGCATCCCTTTCTCGAAGAATACGTGCGAACATATTTATGAATTTCCAACCATCCCACCGGACCTAGGTAAGTGATTTGCTTATTGTTTCATGTTTAGTCAAACATAATTAGCAACCGAGTGGTGGCTGAACAGTAAATGGTGCTCAAAAGTCGACAACATTATTTAATGATTCTACATAACTAAACTAGGGTTCCCTTTGTTTTGACCAAATGCAGCATAACTGATGATTTTTTTAACGTCCAAGAAACGAAAATCCTGTTGTAATTTTTATAAGCTTTCCAACTATATAATAACTCACAGATAGTATGCAAACAAAGGTGGATTAACTTTACAATCATATGCTCCCTGCTGCCTTTTTCGGTTTCTTTTGAAGTTCACACCAACTGTGCCAAATTTGAAAAAAGTGGGTTGCTATATGGATTTGTAAAATTGAGGAATAAATTGAGAAATAATTAAACTCCCCCAATGATTCGAACAGGGAAAGCCGGGTACTTCTTTCAGTAGCCGCTCTGCATGTTTCGTTTGCTGGTTAATTCACCTCAAAATAATTTCGGGTCTTCCTCAGTCGGTAAAAGCACTGTAACTGATGAAATTTTTTTTTTTTTTTTTTTTTTTTTTTTTTATTATAGTCACTTTAACACTCTTGGGTCATTCGTGACTTGTCCGGGGTGAGATTTGAACTCGTGACTCCGGCGTGAGAGGTATGGATGCTAGCCACTACGCCGGAGTCGCCCCCCGTAACTGATGAAAAAATGAGATCGCAATTTTCAAAAAAGTTGAATTTCTAGTAATTCTTACATATTTATCATGTTAAATCTTAAATTTCATATGGAACCCTCCTGCATACAACACGCTATTATGAAGAGGAAAAATATGGCTTTCTTTTGGAATGGAAGTTTTATTGACGGCCATCTTGTACTAGGCCGCCATATTGGATTTTATCAGAAAACCGTGTTTTCCGTGCTGAGCACCAATGTTACCGACGTGCCAGGAAGGCAGCTCCCACACCTGGACCCTACACCTATCGACCCATCAACTCATGAACCGGGGACCAACGGCTTTACTTCCCATCCAAAGGAAGGCGTGATCAGAGATGTTATGCCTCAGAACATCCCGGCGGCGCCGACTGGGATTGAACCCAGGCCTGCTGGGGTGAGAGGTAATCACGCTTACCACTACACCACCGGCGTCGTTGTTTGCAACCACTGATTTTGATTCTGAGGTCACCATCTAAAAGCTGAGGAAAAAAATCTATCAGATACACACAACAGATTAGGTGCAATGACATTAACACTATGAAACAACATTTTTTCTATGACGATGTTCACAATTTTCCACGCATGACGTACCATCAACGCCAAAGCAGTGCCAATCAATCTGGAACAAAGAACAAACTTCCGTCTAGAAAAACCAAACGTCAAAATCATTGTGATGAACACATTCATACACGCGAACAATGAGCCAACAATACACAATCACTCAAACAAATATACACGGGCACTGAACGCTGGTGCTGCTTTGACATTGATGGCACGTCATGCGTGGAAAAGTGTGAACGTCGTCATAGAAAAATGGTTGGTTCATAGTGTTAATTTCATTGCTCATCTAATGTGTTGCGTGTATCTGATAGCATTTTTCTCAGCTTTTAGATGGTCACCTCAATCAAAATCGGTGGATGCGAACATAGTGAAAAATACGTTTTATCTGATAAAATCCAATATGGTGGCCTAATCCAAGATGGCCGCCAATAATACTTCCATTTTGAATGAAAGACCTATCCTTCATAATAACGTGTTGTTTGCAGGAGGATTCCATATGAAATTTCAAAGATTTAACATGATAAATACGTTAGGAATTGCTAGAAATTCAACTTTTTTTGAAAATTCACCCCTTGGCGAGCGAGGGGTCCATTAATTAGAGTTAAGAAAAGTAGCAATCTCATTTTTTCGTCAGTTTCGACCAACAAGCGGATATATTTAAATATTTAAAGACCATGTGTCAATGGCGGCCTGGTTTCAACGAGAATTACTCAGATATACCAACCGGTGGAAACTAATGATTTTAAATTGGCTCACTGCTTGACTAGCCTATTGGTCCCAAGCAAATCGATTAACGTACCCCATTCTAGTGAAAATTCTGATACTACACTATGTTTGTTTTGATTCGCTATGAAAGTTTGACAGATAAAATGAGGGGTTCGTGGATTTTCCTATATTTCGAGGGGTGAATCGATTAGCTTGGGACCGAATATAGTACCAGAGTTGAGCCAAAAAGTTGAACACGTTTATTCAGGACCTTCTGGCCTTAGAATACCTACTTTTTGATAATGTGATGCCATCGTCCATTCAATATCGAATTAGAGAGAAATGGAAAATTGGCTGTATTATTCATATTTAAATAGCCTAAAAGCGGAAACTGCACCACTTAAAACAAAATTAAGACAGGAATATTCCATAGACATTCGATCACTATTCTCAACGTACACAGCAAAAAAAAATTTAATATTACTAGGCATATTATTAGGCATAACATCTCTGATCACGCCTTCACGGGAAGTAAAGCCGTTGGTCCCCGGTTCATGAGTTGATAGGTCGATAGGTAGGGTCCAGGTGTGGGAGCTGTCTCCCTGGCGTCGGTAGGGAAAACAAGATCGACGGAAAACAAATCAAGGAAAAATAATAATAAAGTGAAGGATAGAGGCGCCTGAAGGCGCAAAAAAAAATTAAAAAAAATGCAGGTTTTCTTTCACCAAAAACCGTGCAGGAAGAGAGGAAAATGGAACCATTTACCTCCGCTTATCTATGGAATCTACCGTGGACCCCCGGTAATCTGCCCGTTCCTAATCTGAACACTTTTTAGTTTGAACCCCGTTAATCTGCACGCCGTGCAAACTGAAAATTGCTCAAACGTTATTTAGCACATGGAATGGAGAAAAGCGAAATGGAACGATGCGGAACGGAACGCAGAATCAAAACAAAACAGCAATCGGCTACCAGAAACTCACTTTTCTGCTGGTTACTAGCAGATCAAATTAAAAATAAACCTTGTTAATTTGCACGAACTGTCGTCCAGATTGACTGCAGTTATGCCCTGTTTGTTCCCGTACTTGCTTTTTTTATTTTTCTGTAAGTTGCTGTAAGCAAATCCAGAGTGATTTGAGATTTGGGCGTAATTGCATTTGTAAACAAACACGTCAATTGACGTGTTTGTTTTCAAAAGCAATTACGCTCAAATCTCAAATCACTCTGAAAATCATGTGCTGCAGAAAGTCCGTACTATTCCGTACTACTCCCGTGAACATACTTTTGCTTTTTGCTGTACAGAATCTTACAGAAATGTAAGTTCGGGTGCAGGCCTAGTGTCAAAACCACGGTGAAGGATACTTTTATTCATACCAACTTTAAAATTACCAAGCGTGGAAAGGTGAATTTGGAAGTCCTTTTTGATTGGGTCGTATGAAACAAACGAAAACAAATTGATATTTTAATGCTACCAGACACTACTCTGCTTACTCTTCCTAGAGGCAAAATTTGGTTCCACTACCTCATTTCTGTTTCATTTGCACATTAAAAAAGTAATTGTCGTATGTGCCAAGCGATCAAAACATAGCGCAATGTTACATACGTCACCTAAATTCTATGGAAGTGTCAAATGTCGTATGTAACAAATTTGACGGAAGCGTAAAAACTGTACATACGACCTGCTGTGTTTCCTAATAAAAGCGCAAATTTTGCAAATCTTCAATGTAAAACGTTTGTGGGTGGTCCATAACCTGATAACTACGCTTTCCGTGAGATATTACTAAATTGTAATATTTTTTTAACCGCTAAATTGCGCACGGTCGAATGTAACACCACGGCATGCAAAAGGTCGTATATTATTGATTGGTTAAAAACGTTTATTTTTTAACAGGAACGCTATCAATACCTCACTCAGTCGATAGAAGCACTGAGATGTTAGTGAATGGGAATTTTTGAGGAATTATCTATTTAATTGACGTTTCTCTAGTTGACAAAATCAAAAGGGCTCCAGAATTGGCCATGATGAGTTATGGCAGATGATGTGAAGGGCACCATACTACATTGATGGCGCATTTTCTCCATTTGCAGTGCTTATTCTGCTAACTGTTAAACCTGCTTTCAATTTGACAGACTTTTTTCTGGCAGTCACGCCGTGAAACTTACATTTCCTCAATTGAGCCAAAGCGAATGATACCAGAAGACCTCAGAACAACTCGTTTCAACTCGGATTTTTCTTCCCAAATTGACCTTTCACCTTGCTGTCCAAGAGGCTGCGATGAACGATTGCGACTCTCAGGAAGCAAAATTGACAGGTCTTATGTATCAAACACATACTTTGCAATCTCTTCTTGTGACTTACAAGTAAAAAATGTGATCATAACATCTAATGATTAGGTAAGCGTGATTGCCTCTCATCCCAGCAGGCCTGGGTTCAATCCCAGTCGGCGCCGCCGGGATGTTCTGAGGCATAACATCTCTGATCACGGGAAGTAAAGCCGTTGGTCCCCAGTTCATGAGTTGATGGGTCGATAGGTAGGGTCCAGGTGTGGGAGCTGCCTTCCTGGCACGTCGGTAGCATTGGTGCTCAGCACGGAAAACAAGATCGACGGAAAAAACAAACCAAAGAAAAAAAAAAAAAAAAAACATCTGGTAGCTAAAAGATGAACCAGCCCAAGGCTGAAAATCTCTCTAATTCCTAAAGCAAAAAAAAAATCTGGTAGCTTTTACTGCACGGTAAGAAAAAAGTACCCAACGGCCAGTTCACTTTTACCTACTTTTGACTAGTTTGTCTCCTTTTCTCCTTCTAATGTTGTCAAAAACGGAGGAGCAAAACCACCCAACAGGGGTAGTAGAGTGTGGGAACCCAACGTTGAGTATAATCATATTTACGTACTGTTGGGTACAACTAACGTACTTTTGGTTAAAAAGCCAGTGGAAAATTCCATACGAACTGTACACAAGTAAATGAAAATTACTTTGACCCGCTTTACCTACTTTTGGGTTCCTGCACTATAGTACCGAGATGAGTGAAAAGAACTTAATTTTGGGTACTTTTTTCTAACCGTGTGGTAGCTGCTCGCCACAGCAACAGCAGAATAGATAGGGTTCAAAGGGTTAAAGGCCATTTTGGCTTTCGAAATTTTATAGCGGTGGACGCATAATTGTCCCATGTTCTATGGAATTTCATATACACATGGGACAGCTCAGAGGCGCGTCCAGCTTCAAAGATGTGGGTGGGACAAGGTACTATGGTCTAATAGAACTTTTTGAATATTTTTTAATCGGTAACTGGTTCCAGATATGTATGGCCGAAACATGTTCTGGTTTGTAAATGCCATGAAACTTAATGCAGCCTGAAATAAATAAAACCCATCATGTAGTTAAATGGTAATTATAATCAGAGCAGCACAGGACTATACTGGTCACATCCGGCCATGCTCTGGAAACCCCCGGCTAAATCACATGAGAATTAATCAATCTTTTCTCAGCGTATGAGCACTTTAGTCGGAATTTCTATTAGAAAGAAGGGTACGATTTTATCATTGGAGGATTAAAGCGTTGACTGTCCCATCCAAGTATTTTTGTGCGTAGGACATGTCCCACCTGTCCCACCCACTTCTTGCGCCTCTGGGACAGTTATGCTTCCAACGACAGTTTATCGCTTCGAAAAAATAATGGAAAATTATATAAAAAATTAAAAAAAAAAGCCCTGCTCTTTGGTTCAGTGAGGATTAGGGCGCGTTCTGCCAGGTTGGTCGAGGCAGGTTTCATATGTGAGTTAGTGATGACACTGATCATTGTTATGTGCAATTCACTTTAAAAGGTGTGTTTCATATTTCACCAATGTAACGGAACATTGATACTAATTGTATAAAACCGAAGACAACATATCACTCTCATACGACCGCTATGAGACCGGCACAATCGCGTCATCTGCTGCGAAAAGGTAAATGCTTCGAACGAATTGGATAGCAAAGATTACAACCTCTGAAGAATGGTTTGTGTATTTGCTCACTTCTTTATGCGTTATTTCCACCTTCACTCGAGCGCAGCGCTAATGTATCTGTCACTTGGATTATGGCAGAGTTGCCAGTCTTCTCTATTTGATGTCTTCGATAAAACACAAGTAAATGCTTCCAGAAATTGTTTAAGACAACATATTGAAAAATGTGTTTATTATTAGTCAAAAGTTGAATGTTGTATTAAAATATTTTAAATTGTGTTAAAATTAAATATTCCCTCATTTCACATCCTTTGAACCATTCTGAACGGCCATCCCATTGTGGTGATGCTCGTTTATAAAATACCCGGATATAAGCATTGTCTATTTTTCGCGCTGGTGTTACAGTTTTATAATCTGCAACTAAAAGCTCAAGACCATTATAGATAATGGACTGCCGTCGAAACGTCATGGAACACATGGGAAACTTTCGGTAGACTAGTAGTCATTTTGACTGGAGAAATACGAAGCGTTGGAGAGAGAAAAAAATACAAGGGTTTCCAAAAGAAGCAATCAACGGCGGCGGAAAAGTACGATATGGTGAGAGATTTCCAATTATTCTTTATAAATTAAATATCAAAATAAAACTAAATAGGGGAAATGGCTCTAATGTTGGCCTATGGATCTATCGCTAAAAATCTGCTATTTATCAATTTTATCTAGATGAACGCGTCATTGGGACGGTTTTAGGCCGACATTACATCCATTTCCCCTACGTGACAGGTTTGAAAAGAATATTTTCGAACCTGGAAGTGTGTAATACCAATATCCATTTGATAACGGTGATGCATACATGCGGGGCTTATTGTGAGTGAAAGTAACCTCGGAATGGGCGTGACTCTCCAGACATTCTGAAATGAGTTGCTGGATCTGCAATAGAGCTATCCCGAGCAAAGCTGGAGATCAAATTGAAATCACAATTTGCTGATATGATGTAACTTATTTTGAATATTCCAGTTGATCTCATTTTGGTTGACTTAACGGTTAACACAGCAAAAATGAGAGCAAAATTTTACACTGATGAATCAAACGGAAAACTAATCCTGCTTTCAATTAAATCAATTTGATTACTGATTTTGCATTCACTATGTTTAACTGAATACGGACCTGGTGTATATGGTTAGCATCCATGCTTCTCACGCTGAAAGACTTGAGTTCAAATCTCACCCCGAGAAAGTCACGAATGACCAAAACAAAATTAACAGTAATCGTTATGAAGTAATGAAATTGGGTTGTTAGCGGGATGCTTAAATAAAACAACAAAAAAGGCTATCTTCCATTTAATTCCACTTAATTAATTTTGGTATCCATGACAGTTACGTATTTCGACTACAATGTGCAGTCTTCATCAGTGTCATTCCCTCTATTTTTACCCAGGGGACCTAGATTTTTTATAAGTCTTTAGTGGGAATGACACTGATGAAAACTTTGAATTGTAGATTGCAACGATTTTTGTTTGAAATTGTAAACTTTGATTAATTAATAATTTTCATGGGCTATTTTAAAATATTCAAGCTGAACATTGCATTAACTCAAAAGCAACATTGACAGATTTTCTTCGCCGACTTTTTCTTTGTATCACCACGGCCATGTAAAGACATTCCCAGGTATTTTCAGCACACAGATCATTAAAAGAAGCTTTTATCTAGCATCTGATACGACCAAGAAACGGTTATGTGCTCAAGCTATTGACGAAAGAGAAAGTCGGCGAAGAGAATCGATGAATGTTACTTAGGACCTAATGCAATGTCTTGATGACTTTTGTTTTTCGTGTTTCACGATTCTTATAAGAGTTGTAGTTTTCAATATTATTGAATTATATTCAGTTTGGCTATTTGATTGTGCGATTTTACGTATTTGGAGTTTTTAATGTTATTTTGAGTTTCCAAGTCGTTTAAGCTACTCTAGTATGTTGAGGACATTCATGCGCTTGTATGCCATCCTCATTGTTTATATTGCTTTGTTGTTGTTTTATGCGTTGCGATGACCCTTTAAGTGTTTTTTTCAGGTCATTTATGGGTGGATTTGACGTTTAAGAGCATTTTAGTAATTTTAAGTAACTCATTTAACATGTTTTAATCTATTTGGGCGTCTTTGCAAAATACCTAAATTTCGATGCCTTTTGTTTTAAGGTTTCAGCGTTTGAGGAAATCATGCAGTTTTGAGATGCAAAAATGTCTTTTTGAAAAAATTGCTGGCATCAAATTATTCATATCAGCGACTGGAATTTTTTTTCCCTTGTGCGATATTTATTTATTTATTTATTTATTTATTCATTTCGCCAAGCCAATGTAGACTACATACATGTTTACTTACATACTATGCATTATTTCTATTATGTTTCAGCTTAAGTTTTATTTGCTGTTTGGACATAGTAATGTCAATCCACAATGCAAATTACACAGGTGCATCATTCGATTGATTGGCTTATTAAATCCATTAAAAAAAGTTTTTGTTTAAAATCAATAGTATTTTTTCTCTAAATAGTTGCTCTGTTAAATTCTAAAGAATACATATTGACGTACCTAATGAGCACACGGAGAAGCTTAAATGTACTGACGATTTAATGGTACATTGACTAACATGAGATGGTCCGAAAAGTTGTGGATCATCTGTGGAGAGGGCTAAATATGAAATTTTCTTGAAATCGACTTATTTTGCATATTTTGAGCACCATTTTCACAGCCACCTGTAACCACCAACAAAAGGAAACCAAGCGTTGTTAATTGTTCTCATCAATATTCATCATTTCGGCGCCATAATCACCATTTAAATCCATCGGGCAGATTTTGTGGTGTAATTTGAATTAATAACCAACCAAACTTTTTCCAGTGAATGAGATGATTATGAATCCGTTCGAGACCCGATCAGATAGCTTCTACTTTGTCGATAACTGTCTGGTAATGCATAACAAGGCAGACTACGCGTATAACGGTGGTCTGTGAGCTTATCAATAAGGAATGACACTGAAAGGATTTATCGATTTATATTTTCTACATTTGAGTGATTTATTAAAATTTAAAATTCAAAAACATTATCTCTAAGAAAGGAATGTAACGAAGAACCCTAGCGCCGATGGAAGGTAATTGAATGAAATGTGATGTTCATAACGATTTTAAAATGCGAGACATCTTATAAAACAAGGAATGCTTTAGTGCGAATCAAGATCTTATCCTATCCGAATAAATAGGAACACAAACAGAAAAGACGCTACTAAGAAGAGATGTAACGTAATATTAAGCTAGTCTACATCAAATTTTGTTATCTACAGGAAGAAAAAAAAACTAAAAGTATGGAACTAATCAAATCACCTTTCTTGCCTTAATTATTTGTTGTCACTAATTAGGAGTAATGTTCTCATCATACAAAAAATAGGAACAACAGTTCAAAGGAAGCAAACGGCGCATGAATAGCTTCGCAGTGCTTAATGAGCTATTTAATTTCTCCTGAGTTTTCGATCAGTCGGCCGTTATAAACGGCATAAAGAGAATGAAGAGGCAGAATAATGAAAGTAGGTTAAAAGGCAAACATCCTTATAGCATTATTTCTCGACAAGGACGTTCCGTATAGAATAATGGTGGGCGAGCGGAATGTCGTGTAGAAGAAAGTCTGGTGCAAACGTGCATCTGTGTAGAAAAAGAACTAAGAGAGGGAAAACAGGAAGCGACACAGCTAAACGGAGCACTGCTATTCATTGATTGCTAGTATTTTTTTTAAAGCGAAAATTTCCTTAGATTTCCATGTACAACAATAATACACAGTGTTTGTTTTGTGATCAGATCGTTTTTATGTCGTTCGCCCGAAAATACGGCAGACCAATTGATTGATCTAGGTTTTGGTCGGCAGGAGGTATTTACGGTGGTATTTATTGCATTTGCACTTCCTTGGTCTAACCCTGGTCGAGGCAGTGGGACAATGTGCACTTGAGCAATCACGCTTCACTCACGGTACTTTGCTCCAGTATAAAATACCTATGGCAGAAAATATGGTCTATTTTTGTCTACCGGCGGTAAGATAACCATAATTCGGTTGCAATGTTACGTGAACCGTGGTTTTTCATATTTTGCCATATCCATTACTGATTGACTTCATAATAGACAGCGTCGTATTGAGGGTTGGATACGCCCTTCGCAAACCATGAAAATTACGTCCCCTTCTCAATTGATTAAATCAAGTGTAAGGTTTCGAAATAGAATGGGCAACAATTTTTTTTTATTCTCAATATTTTTTCACGTCGAGAGATCAGTTTTTTAAACTCTGATTCCTTTTTTTTAAATGCGTTTATTTAACCAGGCTCATTTGCTGTAACTATGCGAAGCCGATATTCATTGTTTGGGTTACAAATTTACTTAAAACTAACGTTAGTAAAGCGGGGGCCGATTACTCGCGGCTATCTCGAGGTTAGGCGTAACAAATTGTAACAAATGGATGGCAGGGTATAGATTGAAAACACAAGGTTTTTTCGAGCAATGTGCTCTTGATCTAGATCTAAGCGACATACTGGAGAAAAAGACGAACATGGGGGTACACCGATGGGGACCTAGCCACTTGAGAGAACACAAGATGACACTAACTACTAAATCCTCAGATCGATCCGTTTTAAAAACAGATACATTAAATTAAAATAATCGAGATCTCGGCTCGCCAAGATGTCTCTAACAAGTTTGAGATCTAACTATTGTCAGTCCCAGAATAGAAAAAAAAAGATTATTCAACCAACAATTGAAAAAGGTCTATCAGCTTTTGTATACAAAACTTTGTAAGTCCTTTCCTCGCAAAGCGTAGGCGATTGGTAATGAACTAGCCCAGAAGTGGCTAACAATCACCATCAGGCCTGAACATACTTATTACAGTTAAAATGCTACTTTTAGAAATTATGAAACTATGAGATATTATAATAATAATGTGTTTATGTAAGATGCAAGTAGAGGAGATAAAGTTTGTGTATGACACATAAAATATGTCAATTTCGTTTCCAGAGTGTCTCAATTTGCGATTAGCTATAACGATTAGTTCTCATTCATGAAGATTACTCATTACAGCTAAAATAGCTAATTGTGACCCTCTGAAAGCAAAATTGACTGGTTTTATGTGTCATACACAAACTTTACCTCCCCTTCTTGCATCATACATATAAAAATAATTATTATAATATCTCATAATTTTTTTAACTTTTTTTTATTATAGTCACTTTAACACTATTGGGTCATTCGGCCGGTACGAGCGAAAGGGTAACATTTATGGACTCGGTAATCGCGTATATCCCTCATCAGCTAGGTGGATTTGGTAGGCTTCAATCGATAAAAAGGAATGCAACGATGCATGACCTACCCGATGATGTTCCTCGCATATCACTGCCTAACTCTGCCTGGGGGACTCCGTTGACCGTAGGTTGCTTTGATGCAGATGCCGAATCAAAGTTACAGTCAGAGGATGCTTTTCAGGTCGACTTTCAGCTTCCACTAGTCGCACTATCAGTATGGACGACCGCAACATCTCATCCGTTTTTAGATAATCCTTCATAAGCTTCTTCCTACCACTTCCCCTGTAATCACAAAAGCGCACATTCATGATGTGCTGGATGATAAGATGTAACGAGCATGAATGTCGTTCATTGTTAGATATTTGTTTTCTTGTTAAATAATTAATTAATTTTCATCTAAAGCGCGATCACTCAGATAGAGTTCATTTCATTCACTCTGTTCAGGAGCAACACGATCACGCAAGATGTTGATAATGAGTTCCTTACCAAAGCCTATAGCGCACAAAAGTAAAACGATATGCAAAAGTTACAAAAACCGAGAGAATGTATAAAGCAAAGTTGTTCGATAAAGGATACCCCACTTGCCCCTAATGCGTTTCGTGATAATAAACAAATCTAGAACTTCGTCACTTCTCTTGGGAAATGATGCAAACTGATAGTGGAGGTTATTTGAATCTAGCGCCTTATCTGAGGATTTTGGGGCTTGGTTCGATCACTTCGTTCTGGCTTGTGGAAGAGGCAGGATCGATCAGTGCTTAGTTCGCGCCGTGGTGTGTAATTGGAGGTAACTTAAATTAACATGTGTTACCTTTTTGTGAATAACTTGGTCTTTCCCTTTAGCAGTTAATAGGCTTCCCAAACAAGTTTATGCGTTGCTAAGGAATTGTGTGCCATTGTTTGAAAAAAAAAAAGGTAACAGTGCGATATAATTGTGTGCTTTGTGCGTGTGCTTACTCCGCTGCCAAACGGCAGCACGTATCTCCATAGGTTTGTGGCAGTGTTGCACAACCAGCACATCACACCTTCAGTTTTTAACACTTCTGACCCTACCTGCTTGATACGGAGTTCCCGGCCGTACGGTGACCGGAAGAGGGTTTGCGTTCGTCAACATCAGGCCCTAGGCAGGTTGGCAAGACATCCGTTCATCATTTCGCGCACCAATCAACGTGAAGACGCATCATCGCGTTCGCACCAATCTTGTTGAAGTTCATCTCCAACGTCGAAGAAAAATTATTCAGTACTCGTACCGAGTTAGCATAAGATTTGCTAACTATTTTTTTTTTTAAATACGCATCATTATATCTACCGGTGTCAATTGCTTCCCCTACCGTAAGCATGGCTTTATCGCTTCCCTTACCCTACGCATAGCGATTATCGCATCGCTACTTTTAAGAGGGAATCCTCCATGCGTGGTATTGATTTACTTGAATTAGGGCTCAAGCGGTCATCTTGAGTTCATGCGACGATGATACGCCGTCCTTGGATTATGCTGCATAGGAAATGTTTTTGCAGGAAGCCATCTTGGCTTAGCTTAGTGCCTAAATATTATATTGGTACGAGTTCCTTTTAATTATCCAATGCAGTTATTTATTACATTTGTTTCATTTTTAGGTCTTTTTTTTTTACTGTGCAATCTTGCTTGTCGGGATACCTTTAGCTTGCATGCCCTATTCCTGTTGGAGCGATGACCGATCGAGATAATTAGATGGAACATTAATTTTTACAATGTCGCGTTCGTAACACTAGATAATGGTCTATATGTCCATTTGGTTATTACATCTGTAGCCAATTTCTGGGGTGAGATTGTCTCTCTAATTTGTTCATCAAAAGTGTACCATTTTCCTCCAAATTGGAACTTAACTGGTAACAATGGTGTGCGTTCGATGTCAGTTCCTCTTGGTTGCAATGTACGCTTTACCGGAGTAAGGTACATTATTATTTCACCGTATTTAACAGGTAGTTCCTGATAACACCTATCTGTGGCAAATGGCTGTACGTACACGTGCAATACCTCTCCAGCGACAACTGCTGAAAATCCTGATTGTTTTATAATGCTGTTCACAAATTCCGCAGGGTTAATGCGTGCTAATGTGAGTTTTGTTTCAAGCAGGGCCTTGTCAATCTTACACATCTCGGCAAGGGCGTAGCCAGGTTTCGAGCTAGGGAGGGGCGAAAAAAAAATTACCATGGAAAATTTGGCCGAATGCCATTTCACCGAACGCCATTTCCTCGAAAGCCTTTGTGTTGCCGAGTTTAGGGGGGGGGGGCAGTCGCCCCCCCCCCCTGCCCCTATCTGGCTACGCCTATGCATCTCGGTCATGACCGTGTTATATACATCATCTAGTTTTTGACCAATGTAATTCTCAACGAGCGTTATCTTTGAATTGTAATATGTAAAGATGTCATGATTTTATACGCCTGATGGTCTTCGTTTGAATGGTGACTTAAAATCTTTTGATTCTAGAATGAACATCCTAGGATGGTCTGTACTATATCCGCATATATTTGTAGCATTTTTCGTTCGAATTGAAAATAAATGTGTGTCGGATATTGATGTATATATTGCACGTTGTCCAGTTTTGGTTGGGTCTAAATCTAAATGACTTCAAAATCTTTATCTTCAAATCGTTGGTTTAAACTCATATCCCATGTTGAGTATCCGTCCTTTGAATCTAAGCATTTTCCATGCGAATACGGACATACTACTCCGCGGCGTAATATTTTTTGTCGTTTTCAGGATCTATTGTGGCCATATAGTTATATAATGCTATTTCGTATTCGAAATAGACTAAGGCATTAATCCAAGTATATTCTGGAGTTTGATATGTTCTTCCACTACAAGTGCTAGACCACACACTTCCAACGACTAACGCTTCACCTCTGGTTGTAAAATTTCTTTTAAGCTCGAGTCGTGGTCATTGGGCTAGTAGGAAGAACGATTGTAAACTGATCATCCAAAGGGTTCCAAACAGTATCCAATGTTTTTATGTCTACGTTGATGCTGTGATTCTCCATTTCGATACCATTCATGTAGTAAATTGTTTTGATCACTTTCGCTGCCAAAGGATACTGACAGAGCGACATTTTCGCCAGGAATGGGGACGATGCTAACCCGTACGTTACGGTGTTCAAATCTTACGTGGGTCGTTCCAATTTTCTCTACAAACGATTCGTTGGTACTATTGTCAATCACCTCAACAGTCGCGAAGGTTCGACTAATTGTGACATTTGTTTTCGGAT